TAACACAACTCTGTATAACATGTCTTTGTTGTTTTGTCGGCTTCAAAAATGTACTGAGCTCGGAAACATTCTGGTAGAGCTTCACAGACTTGATATTTGGTCGTTCTCTCTGCATTTTTCGGTCGAAAAAAAAGCCCAAGGAATTTAAGCACTTAGTGGTCTAGCCTCTTAGCGATCATACCAGCTTGGAGCTTAAAAACATCCTCGTGATTTATACCGATCTTGACTCCTCTTGACGAGAGTGTTGCATAAAAATTATGCTGATCGTAACTCGCACCTGCGAGGAGAAATAAACAATCGCATGAAACGTGAGATGTGCAAATTTGAATAATGAATGCAAATTTGATTCTTATTTACCTAAGATAGCTCGAAATCCAGTCGAGTTACTAATAAACAATTAATATTTGGTTTCTGAGCCATCAAAATTCAGCTACGCCAGCCACTTTATCTGCTCACTGAGGTGAAAAATCGCAACAGATACATGAGCCCACACACAAAATTCACAGTACTATTGAAACATAATACAACAAAACATAAAATCATAAAATATGACCAGCCGATTTTTTTGAATTTGAATATTTATGGCTATTTTTGTGGCGGTCGATGAACTCAGTTCCATATTCAGATTGATTTTATGTTTAAGAAAAATGATGCAGTTGCAAGCTTAAAATTTCAGGCTTTGCTGTATCTCATGATGAAAGGCCAATAACCTGAAATCAGTTTTCAATGATCAGTGTTTGGAATTTTTGCGATCCGCATCATCAGTTTAAGAAACTTTCGAGAGTGCACTATTATTTTGTTAGAAAAGTGCAAAATTTATAGAAAAAATTTCGTCCGTTGCTAATAATTACTTTACATTAAAGACTGAATTATTCATTAGTTTAAACGGAATTGCAAATTCTATTTAAAGAATGAACTTTATTTAAAGAATTCTATTTAGAGAATGAATATGGTTGAAAATGACGCACTTTGGAAATATTAAAAACTAACACCTATAGCACATATGAAAAAATAACAATTCAGCTGCGATTAAGACGTTTCGTCCTACTAAATTAAAATTTGCTAGAACCAGTCTTTCCTGAATTATCCATAAGTATTTCCTAGAGACAGATTAATCACGGCTACCGCTTCATCTGTACTGCTAGAGCGAATTCGAGTCTGTCGTCAGCAGAGCCTTAACATTCTCAAATTTCCTTCAACGGTCTTATTTCAATCCAAAAATAAACGAGCAAGTTTCCCTTTCCGGAGGATGAATATTATATTTCTGTCACTCAATAAAAGTTAGAAATCTGAAATAACGAAAAAACCGTTTTTTTTTTTGTATTTAAACAGCTAATCAAAAATAAAGGACAAAAATGATGTTGATGCCTAAAATTTATCAAAATAACAACTTTGTCTAAATTTCCTTTAAAAAGAAATTAAAAATCTTTTGAAAATAAATTTTTCCTGTTTTTTTCGAATCACAAATCTTTTGCCTACTTCTCATGCTAATTAGGATACCTAGATTTGATTTTACAATTGCGTTCGGAAAAAGAGGGACTAATTGGACTAGCTTAAACTTTAACATGGGGGCAATGTTTACTTAAAATGGCTTATGAAATAACTGTGCTGTGTTGTTAGTATTGTGTTAGTGGTACTTCCTGCAAAATAACCCTGAAAATCGCTCTTTTCATCGCACATTTTACTTTTTCCAATTTATTTTCATTA